CTTCAAGAGACTTTATGAGAATTCATAAGACTTCAAGAGACTTCAAGAGACTTCAGAAGACTTCAAAAAACTTCAGAAGACTTCAAAAGACTTTCAAGACTTCACGGGACTTCACGGCTGAAGTCTCTGCTGTTTCCCCCTTGATCCAGTCATTCCACTTATACATGGTACTCATCTGCATGATATTCTTCAACAATGTTTAGAAATAAACCTAGATAGACTTTCTACTGCTCAACAAATTTTACAACATCCTTTTCATGGTTTTGAGACTAATTTATAAAAAGAATTAATCAAATTCTGTTTCATTGTTGATCTTTTGCCTTATTTTATGCTATTTGATTTTTTTCTGCTACTTTTTGATAAACGAAGCGTCCTTACTATTATATGAAATAGATTAATTTCTATCATTCATAGAATTTTTTTGTATTTCTTTTTGAATCTATCCCGATTTAATTTACCATTTGTAACGATCTGTAGACACGAATTTAATTCACCATCATCATATTTATTGAGTTCTTTATTAGATGCTAGTCGTAAATCAGTTATAATAGGTGTATAACGATCATCAAGACGCCATGCTATTGAAATATAACAATAGAATAAACTTAACCAAAGAAGAATAAATGTATTTTTATTTGGATAATGAAAATAAAAAATATGTTCCAGTCAAATAAGATAAAACATAAACAAGAGGTACCTAATGACAAGTCAAAAATAGAAATAAAGATGGTACACAGACAATAAATGGGAGCAGTAGTCCCCGTCATATATTCTATTATGTGAGTTTCTCGATTTTCATGATATGTCTTGTTGTTGTTGATAAACAAGTATATAAGCTGCTTTACTGACAACATCATCTTCATTAACATCAGATACTGTTGAATCATCAAATGTATGCCATCTTTTATCAATACAACTTTTTGCATGTGTTATATAATGCTCCTTACTTAGACTTCCTATATGATTACAAACAGCAATTAAATCATATTTTGCTTTTGTTATTTCATTTGGATTTAGAACAAATTGTGATAAATCTAAATCACATATTGGACAATCATTCAACAAATCGATGTTATCACGAAAATAACTACTAGTATAATTAAATCGTTTTAATTTGATAATTAAAAATTTTGGTAAAAGTCATAAATCAATTTTTTTTGTAGCCTTTTTTAATGCATTACATTGTGGACATTTCCATAGATCATTATTAGATAGGACTTTCTTTTCTGTAAAATAACGAAACCAATCGAATAATGTTAATGATCTTTTCTCTTGACTACATGTTTCAGTAGTAGAGTCAATTGATGAAGCATGTTCTTTTTTTGATTTTTTTTTTCTTCTTCATCCTTTTTGTATTTTTCAACAATCGATGATGCAACATCAACAACAAGTGTTGTACTTTTACTATTAAAATCAATATGGTCATCAAGACATGATTGTAATAAATTGTATGTTGAACTATAAGTTTGTCCGAAAAGCAATGAAGCAGTATAAGGTGGATTATCAGATGAATCCGTTGGAGATAATGGAAGAAAATCACCGATACTTTTCTAAAAAATGAATCATAATAAATAGATGATAAAGTGTCTCAATTCTTTAGAATTCTACTTTGTTACCTGCAATTCTACTTGTATATATCTTCCTCTGAAGTTTTGTCTTGGTATATTAAGATAAAAAGGTAAACCAAAATTTTGATGATTTTGATTATCTTCTCGAAATACACATGGCATTAGGATCTTATCGTTATTTTCTTTTTTTAATGAAACCGGTACTTCATAAAAAACAATTTGATCATGCTGAAGTATAGTTTTTAATAAAGTACTATCTGTATATAGTACATGAACTCGATGATTGTCAATTTTAACAGCTAAAATATGATCTGGTTTGGGTTGATGGTCATCATAGTTCAATGCTTTTGTAAAATCTTCTTCTTCATTTTGATTAGTTTCATTGAATTCTGATGCAACATCGGTTTCTACAAGTTCTTTTTCATGAATGTTATTTGTTTTCGATTGAAAACGATCACAAAAATCTTGAACTAAATTACACATACTACCTTTTTTTATCGGATTTAATATCATAAGATTTAATTTGTCCATTTAAACGAACATACACGATTTTAAATGTTCGTAATTCTCGTTTAATTGATAATGGTAAACCTAATGTACATATTGGTTCAAAGATACGTTTTGATGTTTTACATTCGAGACATTGTATAACAGATTTGATTTGTTCATGAAATAAATCATGAATTTTCGATAGATTTCCTTTTCGATAATAATTCCATTATTCAGCAGCTAATGTTGAATTGTTAGTTATTCCATCATCATCATCCTTTTTTTCTATATTTGGTTTTTCTTTGAAAAGATTTAAATCTTCATGTAAAACATCAATTAAAAATGACATAAAATCTTGTGGGTTTTCTCGTGCAAAACCACGACATTTTTTTCCATAAAGCACAACACTTTTCTTCAAAAATCGTGGTGGAGAAAAATTTGTTTGACCTGACCACATTTTATGTATTAATTCACCATATGCCAGAGCAACTTCACCTTTCATACCTAATGGATTATCACGATTTATATGTTCTCTATATTCTTCACGAAGAAAATGTTCTGTCAATGCTGGAACATTTGATCAACATTGTAAAGCTGAATTCATGAAACAAGTATTACCTATATTTGATAAACCACCAAATTCGGGAGTATAATGTATTTTCGATATAGAAAATGAGGAAACATTATGTGCTGCTAATGTTTTGGATTCATATGTGATAAATGCATTTTTTCTTAGATTAATATCATCAAGGATTAAATCTAATCGTTCATCAATCAGTTCCCAATTCAAATCATTTTCATCCACTGATGAATATAAATGATGACTTGAACTTGGTGTAATACAATGTTCATTACAAATATCGTTTTTTAATTCTTCTATTTTAGTTCGACGAATACGATAAATTTGTTTTATTCTTGCATTCAAACATCTTGATTCACGTAGTTTTAATGGTACAAGAAATGTTTCAATTATAATTTGATTTTGACCTTGTGGAATTGCTTTACGAATTATTGCGGGACCGATTTTTTTATGTGTTTCTGCTAAGTCTTCATAGAGTTCATATGAAATGAAGGTATAATCATTTCCTTCAACAGCATCTGAACAAAGTTGTATTTCATTTGAACTATTGAGTGTTGTTGGGTCAATTAATGTTGTGAAGTCTATTGGACCTGGTTCAGTGACTTTTTCTCCATCTGATTTTTCGATACCAACATAATGTTTCCAATGTTCTAACCATTTAATGTCAATAATCACATATTTGTCATTGATTTGTAGTTCCTTTGTAAGTAATCTTTCATATTTTTCTAGCGGATTTGACGACATTACAATACTTGTTGCTCTTCTCCCTCAAAAAAGTAAAATAAATATACGAAAGAATTTATAAAAACGAAAATGAATGGAGAGAAATTGAGAAATGCCTCAGATGATGACTCGTTGAATAGCAGAGAAAGTGGATGTTTGAAGTAAAGAATATTTTTAGATAAAAGAACGAAGAAAATAATTTGAAATGCTGCTGCAAGGTGACGAAAGAAAGCAATGTGTTCGCGCAACAATTGTAAAAGGCAATATTTACATGATCACAGAGAAATATTGACTGGGATAGAACCAACACGAAGCCTTTTTTCTTTTGGTTATATCCTTTTTAAATGTTTATGAACAAACACATATAAAAAGAGGATAAAGTTGATCATAATGATTAATAATACAAGGATAGTGAGACAAGAAAAAGATTTATTCACTGCATGCGCCGGCGATTTGTTAAATAATCTGCTCACTACAATTTTTGGAAAGCACGCCGCAAAAACTTAGTCATTTTCAGAGAAAAAAGATGCTGATGAGGTGAATGAACATTTTTAAATGTTCAAAATTTTCAAACACTTCATTTCGAAAGATATTGAAGCCATAAATGTTTAAAATAATTAAAACTTTCGTGGAAAAAACACTGAACTTTTAAATTTAAAGGTGATCCATATGATCATTTTATCTTTGTGCTGGAACATTGTTACCAACAGTTGAACAAGAAGTTCTTTTGACTATCAAAATTCTACACCAATCAACATCACCAAGACATGAATTCGGAAACAACAGTAAATTATTACTGTCCAAATATGATAAGGTAGTTTGACGGATTAATTAGTTACTGTTGAAATAGTCATCAGTAAAACTCAAAACACATACAAAACATATATATATACAAGTGCACCACTAATCTTTTGATGTTTATTCATTTCCATGTTCGCTATAAATAAATAAAAATATTTTTTCGATTGTAACTATAATTTGGATCATATATTTTCATGATATCATTATCTATGAATATCAGAGTATAAATATGAAATATATAAGGAAGGAGCTTTTGTTTTTGTGTTTCTATTACTCTATTCAAGACAAAGTAGAGACATATTTGCATTTATAAAGCAAACAAACAGATGCATTGTAAACTGAGTACACTTTTGATAACATTACTTATCACAGGAATAAGACTGAAATGAAACTGTTGATCTGTTATTCAAGCAACATATCAAAAAGACATGCAACCGACAATGATGATGAATCTAAAAAATAGATGAATATACCAGCATGACAATAAGAAACTCTTATAGGGAAAAAAGTATGCTACACAAGCATATAATCACCAGAAGAACTCGGTCATCTGCAGTACTGAAAATGCCGAGTTCAGTCATGCACATAGTGGCAGCAGCAGTAATTAGTAATGAACAGTACAGATACATAATTAGTTTATGAAAATGTCATGTCTGAGATACCTCACCCTACTACGTCTAGTACGGGTGATTTGCTTAATGAGAATATGATAGACTAAAATAAAATATTTTTTGAATATTCCTCATATTCAAGTAAAACTAATACTCAACTATTTGCTATATTGAATTTATTCTTCTCATCGTCAGAATTCTTGAGCGATTATGTCCTGTCTTAAAAAATATGAAAAGAGAATAAACTTTTTGAAGCGTAAAAAGTATTATATTATGAAATTTAAAAATCTGTTCAGATTTTCTGATGGCTATGAATATATTTTACAGAGATAGTGTTAAATTATCAAATACTTAAGACGTGTACACATTTCCAAATTGATAGGATATGTGTGTTGCAAAAAACTTTGCTAAAAATATAGATAAATTCATATGTGAATGATTATCATTCGCTGATACCAGTAGGCGAATATATTATAACCTTGCAGATTACCAGAGTCACAAGGCAGGGTCAGATTGATGGATTACTACGATCATAATCTGTCAAGCTGGAATAGAAATAGTATTGTCAACATGCTTACTAGCTTCTAAAAACAAGAGAAGAT